GCATGGGATTATTCCTGCCTAGGGGCAGGACCCTGCCCTTGCCTTTGTTGAACTTCAGGAGGTTCCTCTCCGCCCAGCTCCCCAGCCTGTCCAGGTCCTTCTGAATGGCAGCACAGCCTTCTGGTGTGTCAGCCACTCCTCCCAGTTTAGTATCATCAGCACACTTGCTGAGGGTGCACTCTGTCCCTTTCTCCAGGTCATCGATGAATACGCTGAGCAAGACTGGACCCAGGACTGACCCCTGGGGGACACCGCTAGCTACAGGCCTCCAACTTGACTCTGCACCACTGATCACAACCCTCCGAGCTCTGCCATTCAGTCAGTTCTCAATCTACCATGCTAATTATGCTAATTTATGAGTTTCAACCTAGCTAGCTTAGTGCTCTAGCTGTAACACAGTGTACCCTGAAAGACTTCAACTTGAACCTTTGGTCCCAGGTTTGTAGAAACTGTAAGCAGAGGAAGACAACGTGTTCGCTCCAGCTAGAGAAAAGCACTCTGCAAGCCTGTAGTCAGCAGTATCGACTAATACTGGAATTAACTATGTATAGCATGCTTGCCTTCTCTTGCTGTCTCTCTCCTTGCCTAAAAAGAAGGAAGTAAATGAGACAAAAGGAGGAAGGAACCACTGCCTGAATTCCGTGAATATAATCTGTTCAAGAGGAAGTGCAGTTCAGAGCAAAGTAACAGAATATTTTAAAGGAGGAACTCAAAGATGGAAACAAGAAGTGTAGGACGTTATGCAAGCGGCAGAAAAATCCTAGGTATTTACAGTTTTACTTGTCCTGTCCTGATCTTTAGGCAGGATGGAGGGATACAACTGCATAATCAACTACAAACTAATGCAGATTTTTTTCTGTTGGACATGTATGTACTTTTGAAGTCCTCACACTGTACATTCTGATTTTTTTTTTTACAGCTGGAGATGCAGCAATTGGGCAAAACTTAGAGCTTAATTTAGAAGTGCGTTTACTTCCTAATGAAAACATGCAGTGTTTGTCCTTCTTCACACTTTCTCCTTTCTTACATGTGCATCTTCAGATGTGCATAGTGTCTTCTGCTGAAAATGCTACTGCAGCCTTTGTGTTACAAGGCCAATGCCTGTTTTCTGGTAGAGGCAGAAAATGGCACCAAGGTTCAGACAGCAAAGACTCTTTTAAGATTGTGCCAGTAGGCATTTCCCTATTCTTGCTACACGAACTCATGGATATTTGTTCTGAAGTGTGAAAGTGGTGGATGCCTGTGCCTTCACCTCCATTGGTGGCTCCTTGGCTTCTATGCACATGCACACTGTTGTACTGTGTAAAGCATGAGGAAGGAGAGCTGCAAGGAGTCAGCCACTCCCCAGGGGCCAAATCCTTGTCACAACAGTACACTAGCAGTTTGAGGGGAAAGACAGTACGTAAAGAATAACAAACTTGAAGAAATGGTTCATAAGCGACATTTAACTGGTTCACCACTAGTGGCTGCTGACCTGTACCTCTGGTGTATCCACTTTCTCCTGAGCCTCTGAAAACTCTGCACTGGAAGGAGGAACAATTTGGGGAATCTGTCCATTTGCCTGAACAGCATCTGTGACAAACAAAAATAAGAGGGAGGGAAAAGAAGGTTACATTTTTGTGAGGTTAACCAGAACGGAGGATAACAAACTAAGAAAAAGGCTATAAAAAAGGTTTTTCCAACTTCTACGAAAGAACCACTCATTGTAGGTTTTATACGTAATGCAGCAAAAATCCGTGACGATGTCTGTTTTCCACTTTGGGCTTGTTTTGTGACTTTTCATATTCAGTATATTGCCTAAGGAAAATAAATATGATACCTTACATTAAAACTAATAATGGTCTACATGCTTCTATGGTTGCAGCTGACAGTCCTACAGGAAAAGCAAGGGGCAGAATCACAAAGACTTAAAATGAATCACCTAGGTCTGTAAAAGTTATGATCTTTTTCTTCTGACCATTGTAAACTGGTGATTATAGAAGGGACAGGTAAGGCTGGCCATAGGAAGAGAGAAGGGGAGCTGGCCTTGGAAGGGGAGCTAAGCAGAAAACAAACTAGTATAGTTTAAGGCCACTCTCTGGCCTTCTGTGTTATATGCCTATCATCTTGAGCATTTTGAAGTTTGTGGAGTGCTGCAGTACTACTCAAATTCTCAGATTTTATTGCATTTTTTCCCTTTTCCCTTTGCTTAGACACTAAAAGTGCAGTAGTTTCATATGCATGAGAGCTGAAGGCCAGAAGTACTACAGATGGGCTGAATCGGCTTCTTTAGTAACTAAGCTAACAGCTCTGAACCTTTCCCGCCAATTTGGAATCCCAGATTTGTGAAACCCACCATACTCCCAGATTACTAAAGATCTGCTAGCTGGCTAAGTTAAAGCTCTGCAAAACTTTTGTCCACGATTAATGTGTTTGTAAGGGATATACATAAATACCACAGTACTGCCAAATGGCATAAGCGAATGTTAGACCAAAGGAAAAGTTTGTGGTTTTAACTAGGAAAAAAATCCCCCACCCCTGTATAGTCTGTTAAGGATTAAATGAACTCTCCAGTTTAGTCTAGGATTTTTGGATGCTGTAACATGTCAAAGTAGCAGATAGTCTTTGGTGCTTTGTACGTATATTTGTAAACGTTAATGACTGGTTTACTTCTATTATAATTTACAGTTCTGAGATCCAGCAAAGATGAATTGCTTTGAGTATTGCTCAAAAACTCAAAGTATTGCTTGGAGAAGTCTACCTTCAGGCACAAAATGTTCAGTTACAGTAACATAAGTATCTTGAATGAATCTGTGACTGTAGAACATCAACCAATGCTGGTTTATGTTAACAAAATACTGTTATTTTCATGTGTAATACGGTGGGTAAATTAAAAATAGAACTGGTTCTGCAAACACATCTGCACAGAAATGCTTAAAGAGATCACTCTGAGATACAAATCAATGGATCTGGTTCCACTCATGTACTTCTTGGATGCTTGTGAGCATTCAGCAATCTACAATATAAATCTAAGCACAAAGGTAGTTCTAATTTTAATATGTACTGAAAAGATCTAAGTACTTTTCTGATTAGAAAATAGGTTCTATGAGTGTGATACAAAATGCATTATTTTTTTTTGCTATACTTGCAAATCACACAATCAACAGAGAAGTAAGACCATACTTTGTAGTTCACTGAATTTACTGGGACTGCTTATGCTTCAAGGGATGACAGGAGACAGTCTGAAGTCCTTGTGTTTTATGCCTACATGTACTCCAGTATATTTAATCTAAAGTGCCATTTTGATCACTCAGACTACAGTCTGTGGTTGTTAAAGGTCTGACATGGAACTTCAATAAGGAGCGAAAACCAATCTTTTGGCTGTAAGCGCTCAGCAGAGAGAGATGTGAATCTGTTCTGAGCTCACGCTCTCAAGTGGGGCAAATTATCATTCCCCTTCACTTCATCTACTCCCCATAGTAGTGTAGGACTCTGGGCTTCATGCTGCTCAAAGATGTTATCGCCCTCAGTCCTGCTGAGATTTAACTGGATGAGAGCACACAGAGGGAGATCCACACTACATACCACAAAGTACAGTGTTCTACCTGGCAAATGTGATTACCATTTAGCTTGTCCCAACTTCCTGGTATATCTATTTCTTCTTCTGTTAACGGATATATATTTCATAAACTATGTAAGACTTGAAGGTAACATTTAATTCAGCAGCTCCTGCCCCATACCTATATGTATGCTATACACAGAGATAGCCAGCTAACCCAGTCAATCCAGAATGCACATCCATGCGCTCTGGAGATTTATCTTTAATTTAGATTTTATAGTATTCTTCCTGAGGCACTTTCCACAAATTTTTACGTTGAAATAGCATTTGCTTTAAACAAAAAAATATTTAGTACAAACGTAAAAGCAAAATGCAGCTGCTTTGTAGCAATACAGCACATCTGCAAAGAGCAGCATCCTTCATCTTTTGAATACCATGATATTGTGCTGGCACACAACATACATTGCTATTGGAGCGTCCAAAGACATATATAGTGAGGCAGACATGAAAACAACATATTTGCCTGAGATTTGTTTGGCGCTTGGGACATGTCAACACCACAGACCATACAGTTTACTTAGGGTATATGCAGACACACAAATCTTGGTCACAGCATAGTGATCAGGGAGCACAGGCTAAATAAGATATGAGAACAGAAGTTCCACCTGCCTCCCTGAGCACTGCTTTTAGCAGTCATTGAAGTTAATAGAGTACAAGCCCCTTTTTAAGCTCAGATAGGACTGTAGTTTTCTAAAGTAAATTTTAGCCGATGCTGAAATCAACCTAAACAGACATTTGGAAATAGAAGAAAACATGTTTTGCTCCATTCTCAAAACACAAGCTGACAACTGCTCAGTTAGGCAGTCCAGTTTATAGTATTACAGTTGGCCCCCAGGTTTTATGTAGGACAGTAATATTAACTATAAGACAGCAAGAATCCCAATCACTTGCCTTAATTAAAAAGCTAATGATTCCTCACAGACATTTCCATAGAGGCAACATATATGTCTAAAATCTTTTTAGGCTATTTAACTGTTTAATGAGATCCATTTGTTAAGATTAACAGTATATTTTATGATCACATGCAACGTTCCTGAATTCTGATCGGGAGTCAAAGTCATAAAGATGTATACATACTTAAATAGGCTGTGATCTTGCCAGCATCCTGTGCAGCACCAGTGTGGAGTCCCACTCGTCAGCCACTTCCCTACTGCCCTCAACATCAGAACACAAAATGCTGCACGACCCCGTCCCAGCCACCCTGACTAAAGTCACTCTGTGCCCATCACTCAACATGACTATCAGAAAGTCCACTGATCTTAAAATAGTCTGTTACTGGTCCCTCCCAACCCAAACATGCATTTATTACCATGATTTGACTGCAAGCCATAGTGGAAAGCCCACCTTCTTCTCACATATACTGAGAAAGGACACAGTAAGGCTTTTGGAAGGTGTTTGGAGGATTTTGAGTTGTGACTATATATGAAAATTAATAAGGTTAGTGGCACGGGGAATTGCCAACACTGACTTTTACTGTTCTTATAGTAGCATGTACTTGGCCAGCATGTTCTCCCTAACAAATAAAACATATCTTAAGTATGTGAAGTAAAAACATTCATGTAAGTTACAGCTAGTATCAAGCATTAGTATATCTGTATGATGATAAAATAGATAACAGCAAATGGATGAAGCTTCTGGAACAGTTAAGTTAGAGACTAACCCAATCCTTTCTCCCCCTTCTCCTAACACTCACATTGTTACTGTACAAACTAGTTTTTGAAAGGCTTTGCAGACCCTTCCCCATGACAGAGCTAACGGCAAGGAAAACGCAGGAAAGAGAGTGGCTCACCCTACAACAATGCCTTTCTGAAACGATCATCCCCAAAATAGCCCATTCATCCCTTTTACCTAATGGAATAAAAGCCCTGATACTGCCAAACTGCAGATGGACAAATGGAAAACTTCAAGACATGGACCATCAGTCAGGATAATGTGGAGGGAAGATAACAGACTTGTATACATGTGTCAACAAAAAACTTCCTATTACATTGTGCAGAAATGTGTGTTGCTTTAAACTACCCTTTGGTGAGTCGCCTTTGTGTCCTTCAAGCCATAATTTTAAAGGAAGTGCATTGCAACAAGCTTCATTATAGGCCAGAGCTACACTGGGCTCTCTAGAACAATAAATGATCTTGCTGAATCCATGGGATAATTTTTTGAATACAGACTATGTGCAATACTAATGATGGGAGGAGAAGACGACAGTAATTGTGATTTCAATTGCTCTGACAACACTGGTACCTGTCGATAAGGATCCTGCAGAGACAGCTGGTTCCACCATCCCTTGATTTGCCCACTGAGATGCCAAGCGAGCTCTCTTCACTGCACATTTGTAATTATCATACAGTGTCTTGCCATACTGCAAAACAACCAAAACAATACAACACGGTGTTAAGCCTGAAGTAGGCCAAGCATTTATTTTGCTCTCAGACAACGTTTCTGACCGCATTCCTTTCTGCCCAGCTTTGTTAAAAAGTAGCTGTTTCTACAAGTGTTGCCCCTGTTTCTGTACAGGACCAGGTGGAAAGCATCTCCACACTAGCAAAAAAAAAAAACCATTAATCCCCATGGCCAAATGCATTCCTACTGTTATCAGTCTCATATTTTATGCTCATTTCAGTGTCCGTAAACATCTTGAAATTTGGCTTTAAAACCAACCATGCTCAATAAATACTCTTTTCCAGTGCTTTCCAAGTATTACATTTTCAGACTGGAGACTTGGGGTGCTGAATCCTGGGCTCTAGAGCAAAAGGCTCTGGCAGCGTAAGACATGCACTACTTTGCTGTCCACTCCACAGCTTTGTTGGATGTTGCCCTGCAGCAGAACTGGCATAAAAGAATATATTCCTAAAAAAAGCAGGACATCATAGCCTAGTATACTGGGAGAAACTCATCTCCCTTTAGCGGTCTCCCATAAAATGGGCTGTGAATGGGGATCTTTTTGAAGAGGGTGGAGCAGAGAACATGGGTAATGTCTTAAAAATGTCACAGCTGGACTGATCAGAGCCTGCCCATCTTTAGCCACAGCATCTTACTATTATGTCACATATCTGTGGTATGAGTTTTATGAGTATGTTAATTTTGTAGCTACAAAATTTACCCTTATGTCTTAATGGGAAAAACACATTGATAACTAGTATACAGGAACATTTAGTAAATCTGTGCTGAAGTCACGGCCTTCTGCTCTTCCTCTCTATGGTAAAATTAGCATGAATATATATGTCCATTCTTGGTGCAATCATATCCCCAGCTGGAGATACCTAAGGGAGGCAGGACTTCACAATGTCACAGACAACATATCTAAAGAAATTGAATTTCAATCTCACCTTGGCAATTCTTATACCTGTTACCCACTGATGCAGAGTTGCTTGATCATCGCAGCATAAGTATTTGATATATTGTGACTCCTTCTGAATCTGAGGGTGCTGAAAGATATTAATTCATGCAATTAGACAAACACAGAGATCAGTCACAATACAAAAGTGTGAAGGCACTGCACAATGACTTTGGTAAGAACTCTGCCTACAGGCACCATGCTAACACAAAGATGATTTGAAAAGAAAAGAAGCAAAAATAGAGTATAAGAAAATATGAAAAAGATGGTGACTGTGAACTACATGTGAACTACCACTGATAGCATTTGCTTGAAACAATTTTAATATTTTGTAATATGAATTCAAGAGGTATAGAAATCTAACAGTGATCTAGAGGTCAATGAAGTCTAGAAACGTCATGGTCCAAGGACTAACACTCAATGCATAAACATAGAAGAAAGTGTGTTTCTCATTGGGTTTTGCCATCTGTAAGATATCCAGCTTGAAAGCTGAACATGATTAGCTTTCAAAGAGCATGTTAAATTTGGATAAGCATAAACTCTTAGCTGAAACAGATCTTCCCTTCTCAACTCACCACCTTCCTTTGGGTCTAGTTCAAGCTTTATTCCTACACGTTTTTATTCTGCTTTACTCTTGCTGTTGCTGGCCAACAATTCTGTAAAACTATTGCACGCTGTAGCTAGAGGATTATTCAAGATACAACATTATCAGAAGTAACCATTTTCAGAAACCTACACATCTGTTCAACCTCTTTCTTTGGTTCTTTCTAACACAGTCTAGGACCTCTCTCCATTACTGCTCTTCAGCATAGCATGATATATAGCAACATACTACTGCAATTCAAAAACTACCAAAATATTGGGCCGACTCCTTGCCTGGAAATTGAACATCCTCACTAAGATTCTGAAGGAATTTGCTTCCTGTGCTACAGCAGGGAAGGCTCTAAGTTTTTTGTAGTATGGATGATTCATGGATGGGATTTTGCACAACCATCTCTTCATATGTAAAGAAAAGAATGAAACCAAAGCCAAAGGCTTCATTACCCCTTGTTCAGGTGTTTATTTTGATGAATAGTCTTTTAAATATTAGGTGCAATATTAGTTATTGAAACTTGGTTAATGCATAAAAGAGCTCCTAAATATGCTCTGAGGATTCACCATAGCCAAACCACTCTCTTCTCCGCGTGAGCAGCAGAAAATTCAAAGCTTACTTCTACTTAACAGCAAGGATCCCCCCCCCCTCCTTTTCTATATATCATTAAGCCCCAGGAGCAGAGCAGTGCAGAGGTCAGCCAGGTTCTTTGCAGCCCGCGTAGAGCAGTGTCTGCAACTTGATGGCCCAGGCTGCCTTTCCTCTGCAACAGCTGAGGTAGCAGCAAGATGTCTCTTCACAGACGCCTGCTAGTGTCTGGGACTTCCCCAACGCTGACACGAAACCCTGGCCACAGCTGGATGACACAGAGGCTTCAAAAGCAGTGCTGAACATAGAGGTCTCACTCTTCAGCCCCATCCCTGCTCCTCCCTCAGTGCTGCATGCACCAGGTCTCCTTGCTTGTGCTAACCCAACTGTTTATGAGGCCACATGGTGAAGTGAAAAAAGGAACTGAGCTGGGATAAAAATAACCCATTTTATCATGCTAGAGTTTGGATTTTTTTTTTTTAACCCAGCAGTATGCAGCATGGCCTCGCACACAGTATGGGGACAGGGTGCACTGTGGCATAGGGACGGCATGAGTAGCTAGGGCTCGGAGACAGGACGGGATTGTGCAAAGCAGTATTGAAGTCAAAGCCCTGCACCATCAAACTCTGGAGCAAAAGCAAACACACCAGGGAGATAACTGTGGCAGGGATATTACTGTAGTGGGGACTCACAGTGATAGATGTGTCCCAGGCCAGTGCTGTGGGTAATTACATTAAAATGCCCTACGTGTTTGTACCCAGCAGCTCACACAGGTCACAGGAACATTGTCACAGCTGAGTTCACAGTTGCTCTCCAGATGAATATCTGGCCATCTGCATGAACATGCGAGGTCCACTTCAGCCCTCTGGATAGGCCATAGCTACCTTAGTCTTTTAGCTTGCTTGTGGGAACTCCCAAGGTGAGAGCTAGGGACATCTCATGCTGCAGCCCAGGGACACCACCTCATTGCCTCAAGGCATCCAAACTGCAGAGCAGGCCCCGTGTCTCCTCCATGGGATCCACGCCTCAGGCAGCCGCTGTGCTGCTCAGAGCAGCGTCCACTCCTGCACAGAGGCCAGGACACATTGACACACACTCCCTGTTTTCTTCCATCATTTCTCTATTGTGTGACCAAACACAGTGAAAATCATTAGACAAGTCAGTTCTACCAGTATCATTAAAAAGAAACTATAAGAAGGCCCTTTTCTGTGCGGCCCATCCCTCTCATGGATGTGGGTTACCTTACCACCAACAGAGCCAAGAGAACGAGGAGATACAAAGACACTGCAGCCCTGGATAAATTCAACTCTTCATGCTCTTTTCTACCAGCATCTAGCAATCTTGCTCTAATGTGTTATGTCCTACTGAACCCAGCAGATGGCATCCGAAGCTTTCAAAATCATAAAGCAAGGATTTTCTTCTCCCTTTTCACCACAACTGAGAATAGTTCAATGACCCCATATATCTCCCCTCATTTCCAAACACCACACCTACCAATAGCCGAAAAAAGACATCTATAATTTAATACATAATTCATGCAAACATTTGGGAGAAAGTACACACTGCATAAACATGGCAGAGGAGGAAATGGTGTACAGCAAGCCAGACAAAGCCCTGCCTTGGGGATGTGCTGTGTGAGTTCAGAGGGGCTGCTGCAGGCCTCCCAGCTGGGCACCCCATCAAAATCTTAGCTTCGCACGAACATCCATACTAGATCAGATCAAAGGTCCTCGAGCCCAGTATCCTGACTCTGACAGTGGCCTAAATGGATACTGAGGGAAGAGAAAGAACAGGACTAGCTTAAGCTTACACGATACTTCCTGCTCAGTACTCTCCCTGCTTGCAACTATTTTCACTCAGGGGGTTTTCTGAGCAGGATGTGGCTTTATTTATTTAGATTGTTCCATACATTTCTTTTTGAGGTACTTTAGCTTTTTCTTGAGCCCAAATAAATTTCTGGCATCTACAAGATAACTTTTAGCAACAATTTTCACAAATCTACTACACAGTCTATGGGGAACCACCTCCTCTTGCTCTGAGCCTGGATGCTCCTAGCTTCACTTGATGTTCTTGTGTTGGAAGAGACACTGAATGGCTATCCCTTAGCCCTACCTCTCCATGCCACTCATGAGCTAAGAAACCTGCATGACATTCCTGACAAGTCATCTGTTTTCCAGCCTGCAGACTCCTGGCCTATGCAATAATTCCTCTGGGGTCCTCTGTGCTAGGACAATCTATCTTAACCACTGATATTCACCAGTGGGGCCTACTCTAGATTACTTCTGTTAGTCCCTTGGTTAAATTACTCCAATCAGCAACCACAATTAAATGCAGAGTCACAAGTATATGCTGTCATTTAGGATCCAAACTAGCAATATGCTGAACACCCAGTTCTCATAATACCTTTACTGGGCTTTGCATCAGGCCTGCCGCATGCTGCAAGAGCAGAGGTTGCCTGCTGCAGCTCTGTACAAAGCCGGGCCATAGGCTGAACATCAGAAGCACCAAGATCAACACTGAAGGTTCATACCTGTAAGAGATTATGACAAAGCAGCTCAGATGGAGATATTTGGCTTCCTGTGGATTTTAGATACAACGATGACTTGATGTGAAGATCCATGTAAGCCATTTTCCTCACCTCGTATCTCCTGAGTCTCAGGATCACTGTTTACTACAGCATACAGACTGGTCTGCTCCCTATGGATGCCCATTTTTGCTAATCTAGAGGTATAGTGCCTTTAATAACCTCTTTCTGAGAATAGCAGAGGTTGTAGCAACGTCAGTCACGACAGGATCACATAAGAAATCTTTAGACAAAGTAACACTAAACTGAGCTTACATGTCGAGAGAGAGAAATTATTTTGTTACGTGGCACATACTGTGTCCAGAAAGGTCATTACGATCATCTGACAGCAAAGTGAAAATATCTCCTCTGAAAAAGTTTATTTCCTTTCCCTCTGAAACATTTAGCACAACAATGAAGTATAAAGGAGAACGTTGAAAAAACAATTGCCTCAGAAGTCACAGTTTGAATGAAAAGTGGTAATATGCAAGTAGAAAGTCACTCCAGAATTGATTTCACAGCAAAAGAACTTCCCATAGTATAATGCCTGGAAAACAATCATACAGGCATTGAAATGTAATATAGTCTAACTGCAGTGCCCTTTTCCTTTGTAGACGTCAAAGTTCTTAATACTGATGAATTGGCAGCGTCACTGATACGTTATGGTTGGGGAAATAGACATAGGTGAAAGTCTGGCTTGATTTTCAGAAGTGTTGGACACCAGTTACTCATTAAGGCCTGAACCCCTCAAACATCAGGCTGCGAAAGGATGTGCTGTGTTTCACGCAGAAAAGCAGTGAAGGAGTTTGGAACAGAATTGCATGCTCTCCTTTGACTTACTGTCTCCTTTACAAGTATCAACTGTCTACAGATAAAGAAAGCAGAAGCACTTGAATATAAAGAGATTATTTTTTGAGAGGTTTAAAAAAAATTTTTGCACAGATTACATTTTTAGAAATAAAGTAAACTCTTTGCCTAAGGCAAATAAGATAGCACACATTGAAAACCTAAAGCAATGGGAACTGAAAGATGTGATTTCTATGCTTTGTGCCAAAACAAATGACTAAAGGCGGTCAGACTGTGTGTGCATGATATCAGAGATTATCCTAATAAAATGTTCTCTTACTTCACCTTCTTCCAACACTGAGATGAAAAGTAAACTGAAGTTATTCAGGCATCTCATTGGATTCCTTGCCCCAAAATTTATGGATCATTGCTCACTCCTTGAGGCAGAAACAATAGCCAGAAGCATAAAATAAGTGGCTAGTTTTGGATCAAAAGCTTCAGCTTTAGGCCAAGTTTTCAAAAAACGGTGATTGCTTTTGGATACCTTAATCTCTGGTGATGA